ATTTGTAGCAATTTACAAGTCGAGGTTAAGCCGAGATTACTGTTTCTCAACACTTGTTGAAATTTGTAGCAATTTACAAGTCGAAGTGAAACCGAGGTTATAGTTTGCACACTTATAGCAATCTACAGGTTGGTCCAACCAAAGAAGATGCTTAACACTTGTTGAAATTTGTAGCAATTTACAAGATAAACGTTAAGCCGACATGTGATCATCTGTTGAAATTTGCAGCAATTTACAGGTTGAGGTAAAAGCTAAGTATATTGTTTAAACACTTGTTGAAATTTGTAGCGATTTACAAGAAGATCATTGTCATAACTTAAGAAAAATTTATAGTATATGTTAACACTTGTTGAAATTTGTAGCAATTTACAAGTAGGTTAGACCAAGATCACTGTTTGCAAAGTACTTGTTGAAAATACTTGTTGAAACTTAAGAAAAAGTTTGCAAAGTTGACATTGAATAGTATATGTGTTACACTTGTTGAAACTTATGAAAAGATTGCAGGTCAGTATCTTACCGAAGTAAAGCTTGTAGTTATTACACCCGAGATATGTAACCCCGAGAAGATTGCACAAGCTAGGAAAGAAGTATGTAAATCATGCAAAATATTCTAAGCATAGAAACCAGCAGAAGCAATCAAAAGACAAAGATTCAAGCGTTAAGAAAAGGAAAGTTGAGTTAACATTTACAAAACTGGGAGGCACGTCGGCCACGCAAAATCTTACATTGTTCAGAAAAAGATAAAGCAAAAAACAAAATACAAGTAAGCAAAAGAAGAACATAAAGCTAAGGGTCTTCTCCTCCAGATTATTGGATTTGGAGATCAGATACAACCTCGGCCTCCTTCTCTGCCGCTATTTCGGCGTCAATTTCCTGAAGAGTTTGTTCGACAGTCTTAACCTCGGAAGGGATGTCGGCTGGAACAGTGTCAGGAACAGCTCCAGGGATAACCTCATCACCTTCTTCAGCTTGAGTCAGGTCAAGGACTTGCTCATTCTGAGGAGGGGACTTAGCCCTATCAGCATCCTTTGGTTTTCTGACCAAAGCCTCATCCTCTTCCTCATCGGCATCCGCAGACTCAGATTCAGATTCTCCTCCAGGTTGACTTGATGGAGGAGGAGGGGGGAACGGAAGTGGAATAGCATTTGGGAAGGGTGAATCGGCAGGAAGATCAAGTTTCTTTATCAGGGACATCCAACCAAGGGAGAAGCCCCTGTTGCATGCCTGCCTGACCTGAAGTTTATACTCCTCAGTAACGTTGGCCATACCCTGGGCGTAGGCCTTTTCGTCGGCCGCCTTGATTTCGACATCTTTAGTAGATAAAGCATCTTGAGGTTCCTTTTCCGCTTGGGCCTTTTTGTCCTCGGCCTCTTTCTTCTCGGCTTCGGCGACCTTCTTAATTGCCTCGGCAGATTCAGCTTTTTCCTCGGCTAGACTTTGGGCCTTGGTGGCGGCCTCAGCTTGGTCCTCCAATTTTTTCATCTTTGATTCAAGAGATTTGTTTTCCTTTTTCAAGGCAGAAACCTCCCTCTTCATGTCTGCGAACCTCTCCCTTGTTTCAAAAGCTTGCATGGAGAGGGAGTGGGCATGTTGGATGGCTTGAAAGAACACAAGGCACAAATTGTTACAAAATTTTACAAATTAAGAGAGAAAACAGATTTTCAACACAAAGGCACTTACTTGGACAGAGTGTTGCAGCATAAAGGCGTAGTTCTCATACTCAATCATCTTGGCATTTCGCTCAAGATCGCCTGGGAGGAGTAGAGCAGTACTTAGGGCCATGCCGGCGTTTATGTCATCAGCACTGTCGCTAGCTAAGACTGGCTTATCTTCCAGAGTAATCTCTGGTCTCCAAGGGACATTTGGTATTTTGGAACCTGAGGTCGTCGTAGACGATGACCTCGGCTTTTTTGATTGGGAGGGTTCTGATGGCTGGGCCTCAGCAGACCTTTTTGTCGAAGTAGAAGCAGTTTTTTTACTCTCTGCCAATTGTGAGATGGGTAGAGCATCCTCAGCCTCAACCTCAGTAGCTTTGGCCTTAGGCTGAGCCTTTTTGATTCTTTTTGGCTTTGGTGGGGGCATGGATTGAGCTGGAATAGCATCAACGTCGGCAGGTAGGTCGGCTAAGAGATCAACAGCGACAGGCTTCGAGCGACCCATCTCAGCAGTCTTGACAAGTCGACGCCGACGTTTTCTTTCTGGTATTAGGATTAAGTATGGGGCTGAAGTAGATGGCAGATCAGCCGGGTCAGATGTAGACTCTTGATCTGTTCGTGATGAAGAGGCGGTTTGAGTTGTGGCCGTAGGAGGAGAAAGGCTTTTCTTCTTTCGCTTGGGAACGTCGGGCAAAGTCGACTTGTACGTCGGAATAAAATTTAGTACCAGTGGGGCCTTGCGCTTTTGGATTGGCAGATCTAGGAGCTTCTTTAAGTCTCTGCTAGGAACGTAGGATTGGCGAAAATCTTTCGGTAACTTACGAACGTCTACAAGAAGAAACAAACATTAGAAACAGATTCAATATTGACGACTTGAACAGAAACAACTAAAGTATTGACATTGGGCTCTTACCCTTGCCCTCTTTAATAGATCAGGGAAGAGGGTAGAGATGGGCGTCCTCGTCTGGGCCAAACTCCCAATTTCCCGAAGCAATAACATAGTCATCTCCAGCCCCCTTGTTGGAGTCTGGGAGGTCAGCTACGATTTTGTATTCTGTCGACCTCGGCTTAAGATAATAAACGAAGCCTTTTTCCTTCAGGCTAAGGGGGCACATGGTATAACAGAACTAAATGTCGGCCAGGGTAATCCTAGCATTCTCCTGCCTAGCTAAAGCAATGATGCCATTGATCACTCGATAAGAGTTTATGGCGAGTTACATGGGGTTCAACTTGTAAAAGTGAAGAATTTTGCGAAAAAGAATGTTAAGTGGGAGCCGGAGTTCGCACTCAGTAAAAGCTACTATAGGAAAGGGCATTGAATCATCTGTGGGCATGATAGAGTCATTATCTTCAGCCAGCCTCAGATGGACATCGGCAGGAATAGAAAACTCTTGCCTAAAATACTCAAGTTTGGTCGGGGTGTCTACCCTATGTCTCCACATACCCATAACGTCGGCCTAAAATCAGAGGGCTAGGTTTCAGAAAGAAGGTGCTCTAAAAGGGGTTATCAGGACCTCAGCGAAACCCTAGATATATATTGGTTGGGATTGTTTCAGTTTTTTCCTAAGAATTGACAGGTTCTATAGACAAATCCCAAACCTAAAACTATGGGGGCAAAGATTGAAAGAGGGCAGAGATCTGGCAAAGACACAAAAAATAGAAAGCAAAGGCAAAATTTCAGAAACAAGAACAGGGATGGGCTATCAAGAATATGAAGAATACAGAAGTAAAAGGTCAAGAACAGTGTCAAGAAAAGTGTTGAAACAATGCAAGTGTTCAAGATATGAGTAAAATCATGGAATAGACGCATCCAGATAAATAGTTCAGCAAATCAAAGGTTTGAACAGAGCAATAATGGCAATAAGTAAACAAAAACACATAGAAGAAATTGGGAATAAGAAGCACAGAGGCTTACCAGGACAAATGAAGCCGGAATGAAAGTCGCCGAGATACGGCAACAGTTACAGACACGACGGAACGACGAAACCCTCGCTGAAATAGAAGGATGAAGACGGTTGCAGAGCTTGGAGCTAGAGTAATGGCGGATATGGGAAAGTTTTCAAAGAGAGAGAAAACTAGAAAATCAAGCGCACAAGTAAAGAAACGAAAAAGAGAGTAAAGTTTTATCAAAAACTTGAAACGGCGGCAAAACACGGCATTTATTGCGCCTGGAGGAACGAATGCGTCAGACGGCGCAAACAGATAAAATACGGCTTACAAGCGCATCATAGACACGGGCCAATGAAGATAGAACACGTAAGGGGAACGGTTGAGAAGAAATGCATGACAGCTCATGCGCGTAAGAGAATTTGTTTGAGTTCTTGTTCTCCGAAGAGAACACGTCGGCCTGACATAAATGATCTCGGCTAAACAGTTTTTTGAGCCAATAGGCAGAAAGAAATATCGATATAGGTTCCATCACCTCAAAATGCCGAGGTAATAGAACCTAGGGGGCAGTTGTGGGGATATATTTTCTGAATACCAACGCGTGGCATGGTGACGCCGACGTGTCAGCCGAGGTGCCACGTGTCTTGGTAGTTATGCCGAGGTTATCTTGGCAAGGCCGAGGTTATCTCCAAAGATATCGGAATCTGAGATAAGCGGATAGGGGACAAGAGTCCTAGAGAAAAGAGAAGACTTTGCTAAGATAAGGATAAAACTCTTAGGGAGTTTATCTTTATCTCTTAAGGAATCCAAAGTAAGTACTAAATTGGAGTCCATAGAAGTCAAGCTTCTAGTAGGACTTGGATTGAGTAAACTATAAAAGAGAGGCACCCCCATGGGTCTAAGGTACGCAATTTTATACTCAAGCTTGTGAGTTTAGCACTTGATTTATCTTTGAGAGATATACTGACTTGATCGTCGGAGTGCCCCCTGGTGGAAGAGCCACCGCCGGAGCCTTTTATTTCTGTTACAGGTTTGCTGAAGCCATCTATTCTGCCAGTGCTCTCCAGCTGATTACTTGGTAGGCAGTGTGGTCAGAAAATTACCCACACACTGTCAAATAAAAAAAATTATAATTATAATTATTAATATTTATAATATTTATGACTTTTTTGTAATAATTTTTTTACTCCCACTATCATGTTATTTGCCCTTGAAGAAATTGTAAAGCCTTGTTGCATATTGATTTTCTATATGAAGAGTTTTGGACTTGAGGTTGCACCTTATGAAAAAAAGAAATTACTTTAATTTTTTTTTCAAAATCACGGAAAATTCTGTTACCATTTTTTTCTTAATAGCGCTGTATGTTCCTTCGCATCTTTTTGCCATGAATAGACACTATTGAAGTTTCTTGACTGAAGTTTCAATAGAGCTAGTGTTAAAAAATGTGTCTGTGACTGAGCAGAGTGCCGACGGTGGGGGTCGGTGGAGGTGAAGAAATTAGGGTTTGAAAGGTTTTGGGTGTAAGGACAAGAGTTAATGGTAGGGATGAGGGTAAAATTGGTATTATGAAAATTGTAAAAAAATAAAATGAAATTTTAATATTTTAAGGGTGTAAGAAGATAATTTTGTGATGTAAGTAGAATCACTTTTCAAACAATGCAAGTTAACAAACATAAAATAAATGTATAACGACTTTGTCCTTAAAATGAACCGTTTGCAAATGAAATATTTTTAATTGTCCTTATTTGAAATAAAACTCAAAATTCAGAGTTAAAATGTATCACAATTGAAAAGATAGAAACTAAAGTGAGTTCTAAACTATAGGGACAATTAGTGTAATTTGCTCTAAAAGTAAATATATATTTGAGTAGAAAAGAAATGGTAACATTATCTTTTCATTTATACAATTAACAAATTATTGATTAAAAAAAGTCTAAATATTATGTGAATAAAAATCTTTAAAAAAAATATATAATTGTGTAAAATAATATGAAATTTTTATATTTTTAATAAATTTCAAGAGAGGTTAATATAATTTATCATAACATGTATTACTAGAGAAAGTTTGTTCGCATCATTACATTTAGGCCATGTTTGTTTGGCTCCATAAGATGAAATGGATTAATAATGCGCTGGAATTGAGTGGGGAGATTATTAGTGTAGTGGTATTAGATTGGAGATGTAAGATAAAGAGTGTTTGTTTGTACACTACCGGATTAGAAATATTATAGATAGTATTAATATATAAAATTAATATTTTTTAAGTTTTAGTATTTTTTAATATTATAATTAATTTTTTATTCTAAAAAATATAATTTTTGCTTAAAAATCATTTAAAACTTCGCTAATTCTCTCTTTTAATTTCTAATCCCAATCCTCCCATAACTTTGTTAATCCTACTACATGGGGGGATTACTAGTCGAAGGGGACAATCCCCACACTCATTTTTCCAACCAAACACTCTTTGAGTAGGTCCCACAGACTATTAGTCCAATCCCCCTTCCTAAAGAGTCAAGCAAACATGACCTTAGGGAATCCCTTGGGTATATATAGGGGTGTAATTTTGGCCCGTGGCCCGCGGGCAGCCCAAAGCCTGCCCGCGGCCCGAGGTGGGCCAGGCCCGTTAAGGCTCGAGCCCAAGCCCAGCCCGATACCTTGGGCTAGGGCCTAGGCCATTGTTTTGAAGCCCGGCTCGGCCCGCTTGGCCTGGGCTGTTGGCCCGCCCAAAAGCCCGGCCGGAGGCTCGGCCCACCCGGCTCACCCGATGCCCAGTTTTTTTTTTTAATGAAAAATAATAAAATTTTGGTGGAAAAAATTAAAAAAAAATTGAAAAATTGTTTAGGCCCGCCCAAAGCCCGAATACCCCTAGGCCTGGGCCTAGTTTTCTGGCTTGTGGGCCGGCCCGACCCGATTTTTTGGTGGGAGCCCACAAGGCCCAACATGGGTTGGCCCCGGCCCGAGCCCGAATGGGCCGGGCCAAAATTACACCCTTAGGTATATGCATCCTTATTAACTAATTTTTTTGGTACATGTTATTTATTTATTTATTTTTTTTATAAATATCACGTAGTTTTTTAGTAGAGTTATGATAATTTGTAATTCAAAAATAAAGTTATGTACTTTTGTGGTAATATTACATATTTTATGGTTAAAAAATATTTTAATGAAAAAAATATATAACATTATTGCAAAATAAGTAATTTATTTTTGAATCACAAATTGTCATAACTTTATTAAAAA